CCCCCCCCCCAGACCCCCCCACGCCCACTTTCTGCCACATTTGGAGCTAAAGACACCAGCATGTGTTATGACTTCTGCATAAAGCCGTCATGGAAGCGGCCCCCTTCAGGGTCTCTGGCTGCCCACTTCCTCTTGATCCTCCCCCACCCCTACGAAGTCCAGTCAACGCACAAGAGATCATGCTTAGAGTTAAAATGTGCAGTGTTTCTAAAGGGAAGAGAAATGTCACATAGAAAGTATTACAAAAAAGGATTAAATCTGTCAGCTGTCCACACACTATTAAGACCACGTGCTTTACACAGCGCAATGCAGTTGAGCCCACTCCTTCACTCAGCAGGCAGAGCTGGGGACAGGCCTCTTCGGCTCGGGAGGAGGCGCTAGGAGCTCTGCTGCTTCTGAAGTCTCCGCTCCGCGGCAGCAGCCAGCATCCTTCGACGCAGGGTCATGGGGTCAGAGGTCGTGCCTTCCGAGGGGAGGCAGCTGTCCGAGGCTGAGTCATCTTCAGAACTTCTGTTCAAGAAACGCCTACAAAAAACAAAGGACTTGAGTGAGGGATCAGAGAAGCTCTGGAACATGCACACACACAGAAACATACAATGTGCTTCTTTAATTCCCCCACTTTCCCGGCACCGTCATGAAGCTGTCACTCAGCACCACCCCATGAAAAAGACACCTGTCCCTGAACAGAGGGACAGAAGTTCTCCGCATCAGGCGGCCGCTCCACTTACACACACAGTGCGAAGTCCCCACTCACAAGGCCTGTGCTGGGCACGGAACCCACCCACGGGAACAGAACACCGGCCCCGTCCCCGAGAGTTTAAGTAACGAGCACCTGCACAGCGACAGAACATTCCCGCTCCGGCGACTCCCGCCTGGGGCTGGGGGTCGGCACTTCGAGGCTGGCTGCACGCAGAGTGGCCAAGACGGAGGACTCAAGAGCTGGACATCAGGCCAGTGTTAGCCTCTCTAGGCCTCAGTTTCTTCAGCTTTAAGTCTGTCTAATGGGTATAATTACCATGCTCCCTCTTAGAGTTAAGGGAATTAGAGTAATTAACATAAAGGGCCTAGAACACACTGGCACAGAAGTGCTAACCGTGTAAGGGTGGCGGAGAGCGTCCACAAGGAGACGCCAGCAGCACCTGCCGGAGGTTACTACCTGGGCCCAGTATTACCAGATCCTCAGGTTTTTCAACAGAGATTTGAAACCTGAAGTTTTAGCCGACAGGTGATAGGTTTTCAGCGTTGGCATCCATGACAAGGGCCTTCAGGCCTGGCGGGGAGTGCGGAAGCCGCTCACCTCCGCGCCTGCTGCAGGAGGTCATCCTTGCGCTGCACCAGCATGCGCTGTCTCTCGTCAGCGGACTTGGAGAAGCGGCTCCCCCGGGCCTCAAAGTCCTGCCCTTCACTGGGCTCCGCTTCCAGCTCGCCGAAGTCCAATGCCTCCTCCAGCCGAGGACTGAGGTCCAGAGGCACCCGCTCGGTCTGGACACGCAGGAAGCAAGGGACCACCGTGAGCACGGGCTGCCCTGCCAGGCAGATTCCCCATCTGACTGGTGCCCCAAATAATGCTCTCCTGGACCCCAAAGGAGGCAGGATGCCCGGCAGGGAACCGCAGGCACATGTGTAACGGCAGACATGGGCTCCTGAAGGGCAGGACCTGACTCACATGGCATGTTCAACGTTACGGAATAAGTGAATGATTACTAGTATGAAAACAGAAGCACCTCCAAACTGTACTCTCAGAAGATAACAAAGTTAACTGCTTATTTGCATTCTGGGAATTTTCTGTTCAATGCTACTTATTGCTCTAAAATTTAAACAAGTCTTATCACATATACTGCACAAATTTTATACCCTCACTTGACTCTGAGAACAGGTAGGCAGATAAAAAATGGTAAATTCTGGGCTTCCCTGGTGGTGCAGTGTTTGAGAGTCCGCCTGCCGATGCAGGGGATGTGGGTTCATGCCTTGGTCCGGGAGGATCCCACATGCCTCGGAGCGGCTGGGCCCATGAGCCATGGCCGCTGAGCCTGCGCGTCCGGAGCCTGTGCTCCTCAACGGGAGAGGCCACAACAGTGAGAGGCCCGCGTTCAGCAAAAAAAAAAGGTAAATTCTAAGTATCTTTGTTAAAACCGATATAATATCATGTGGTTCCTTGCATAGCAGGATATAATAATGGGACTGTCTCTGTTCTGGCTGCAGCTGTGAAGGCCAACACGATGCCCAGGAGCCCCCAAAGGCTCAGGCAGCTGTCCGGCCATCTACTGCTCATGCTCCCAGACTCAGGCCCAGACCCAGGCTGGCCAGCGTCAGCCCAGCACCCACCTCCAGGCAACAGCAGAGTTGAGGAGGAAGAGGCTGAGAGGCTATTTTTAAGAGTTCCTGGTGTGTGCGCTTTTCTCTCACCCACCCTCGCCACCTCTCCTTGCCCTCGGGCAAGCGAGTGAGGAACTTCAAGAGAACCATGTGGGGACTTTCCTGGTGGCGCAGTGGTTAAGAATCCGCCTGCCAATGCAGGGGACACGGGTTTGAGTCCTGGTCTGGGAACTAAGATCCCACATGCCACGGAGCAACTAAGCCCATGCACCACAACTACTGAGCCTGCGTGCCACAACTACTGAAGCCCATGTGCCTAGAGCCCATGCTCCGCAACAAGAGAAGCCACCGCAATGAGAAACCCGTGCACCGCAACCGCTCGCCGCAACTAGAGAACGCCCGCGCTCAGCAATGAAGACCCAATAGCCAAAAAATTTAAAAATTTATAAAATAATAATAATTTAAAAAAAGAGAACCATGTGGCCTGACTCATGTGCCCTAGAGTTTGGGGGACACACAGACTGGTGGTGACTAACACACACCTGAGAAATCTAAGAGGAAGAAACTGGCTTGTAGCAGATTTAAAAACGCTTCGCTGGGAGCCAGTTCAACTTCCACTGACTGTAAGGCACAGCTGTGTGTGTCCTGGGGGCGGGGACGTAGGTCCTGCGGGAGAACCAGCCTGAGGCTGTTGAAATTGACTTTGCCCAAGAGGACCACTGGGAGGGGTGAAGGGAACCCCATGAAGGAAGGAGTGGTCATAAATAGCCAGCCCAAGTTCAAACTAAGTATAGTCGAGGCTTCTGGTGCTAGACAGGACAGGGGGAGCTCTACAATAACAGCTGTAACACATATATATACAGATGTGCACATGCGTACACACACACACGCACGCGCGCGCGTGCGCTGGGGTCACATGGCCCATCTTAACCCTCTCTCCTCCTGAGTCCGACCCTAGAGGAAGTTAGAAGAGCTGGTGAGTGCAGGTGGAGGTGGAAGGAAGGGAATGGAAGGCCACCCTCAGGTCCCTGCCGGCCTCAAAGCCTGATTCACGTAGGCCTGAGCTTGGGCAGAGGGGAGACCCCGAATTAAGCAATGGGCAGATCTGATCTGATGACTGGGATAAACTGTTTATTAACTGTTATCCAAGAACTTTTTATTTCCTGAGAACGGCCAAAAGTGTTATATAGCAAGCTTCTTTGTGAAACAAGTGCTTTCCTTCCACTATGTTAAAAAAAATTCAGAAACCTTCATGCTCACTCTAAAAATAGAGATGGGGAATCAAGACAGAAATCGAACGTGCTGTACCCACAAGGCCCCCAAGCCAGCCTAGCATCCAAATCTGAGCTAAGCCAGCTACGAAAACTGGAAACACAATGAGCCCCTTCTGCAGAAGCCAGATGCCATTTTACAAATGCTGCACGACCCAATTACAGATTTGGATACGAAAATTTTAACTCAGCAACAGATCTGAAGAATTCTTAGGAGTTTTTACTGTTTCCTATTTGCAGGGAAAGGCACGTGAGGTGAAAGCAGCCTGCATGTCACTCGTCAGTGAAAGCAGCTGCTTCCAGCAGAGCCCTGACCAACGCTGGCAGAGAAGGCGGCGCCATCCTCAGGCCCCAGCTCCTGTGTGGGAAGCCCCACGTGTCACACCAACAAGGAAACACAAAAATAGGGCTGCCTGGGGCTTCTTCAGTCTCTTAAGAAAACTTCTGGAAAGCACGGTAATTGAATAAGCAAATGGGAATTCCAGAAAAGGGACACAAACCGGAACCCCAGGCTGCGTGGGGCAGAGCATGGGGTGGGGCTGAGGCACCTCTGCCCTGGAAGCCAGACCTGGGAGCCCCCTCTGGGTGCATGCAGCTACCCCGGGTCACCCAGCGTGGCTACCTAGGCAAACCTGGTTCCCAGGAGAACCACACTTCCCCCCACACCAGGGGTCTCGTTTTTGTGAAATGCATGAAGTCCCTGCAAATGCTGAGGTGGACAAGCGAGGCGTGGGGGGAGAATAAGCTGAGGATTTTGGCCCTAGAGAGCGGAGCCCAGTGCAGTCACCCCGGGTCCTGGGCCCAGCCTCACGCTGCCCTGCCTAGTGCCACCACTCAAGTCCACAGCGGCAGGGCCAGCCCGGCAGGGAATGACTCTTTTCTCCTCCAGGTCCTGAGGCCAGTCCCCAGGGAGGGGCTGCAGGCCATGCCCAGGCACAGCAAGGTCTGTTACCCTTGGACACTGAGACGACGCTGGCATATGGTCTCCTCCCTACTCTCGCCCTCAGCCGTACAAACGTCAGAGGCAGGGTGCAGACCCCCGCCAGGCCCCCCGCTGCTCCCCATCCCGGACGCACTCTCTCTAGTACGCAGGCCTTACCTGGGTGGAAGTTTCTCCGTCCTCCTGCTCGCCGTTTGGCCTCTCCACAGGACCATTCAATGCAGGCCTAATGCTCTCTGACCGCTGAAAAGAGAGACAGCAGCACCAACGGTGCAGAGCCGTTCTGAGCTCGGCGAACGGGTTTGGGGGGGGGTGGGAGCTGGAGCATGGGGGAGCTACGACCTCAACCGTCTGAGTTCAGCAAATCCCACAGCACCGAAGACATGAGAGTGCTACTGAGCTTAAAGACACAGCAAAGGAGCCTGAGGCCTAAATCTGAGTCATCAGTGGGCCCACGTTTAATTTCCCGTTCAGTAACAGTAACTGCACAACAATAACAAAACGACAACAGCAGTTAACACCGACAGGACACTTTGGAAAAGCACTGACACCATCATCGCATTCATCTCCTTAACATTCTGTGAACTAGGTACTGCTGTTCTCACTTTCATCCAGGCTGAGATCCCGGCCCACGCTGCAGACACCTCGGGGCCCTGCGCCTGTCCCTGAAGGTCTGCCCGCTGCGTGCTGGCTGCCCAGTTTCTGTATTGCATCACCCGAGGACACACTCTGGCTGTGTGAAGGAACCTGGCCCCCCCTGGAGGCAGCCCTCAACCAACAACTGATGGGAACTGGTGTATAAGCACCCCGGCTCCTCCCCCCTCAGGAGGAACAATGCATTCTACACTAGACCCCAGAGGCCTCCAGTGGGCTCAAGCTCTAGCTGCCCACGATGGAAACTGCTGGATAACAAACCCTTTATCCATTTCACAGCCCCACCTGCTGCCTGTGTTTCCTGGAATACTTCCCACGTGTCCTGGAACACCTCCCAAATTAACTACTGGCAACTGAATCCCTGTCTCAGGGTCTGCTCCTGGGGAAACCCAAAGTCACAGCCAGCTCAAACAGGTAAGGACCACTGAGCCACCTCTAATACCTCAGCCCCTTTGACTCCCAAGTTCAGGGTCATTCCCTCCTCCAAGATTCTCACGCTTGAAGATTTTACTAACAGATTTCCATGTTTTTGCATACCTAAGTTGAGTAATTTCTTGGTATATGATTCCCTAAATCACATATATCCTTTGGTCCTGCCAGAAAGCTTTCTTTAAAATGTCAATACTTTTGTACCCATCAAAGAGGTTACATGATGGGCCAGAAAATAGGATCTTTAAAAAAAAAAAAAAAAGTCAAAAATATAAGCCTCACAGATAGGAATTATACCCAGTGGAAAGCCATACCAATGTGCAAAGCCAGGGACAGAGGGTGATGCCTCCTATAGCCGGGGTTAGCAAACTATGGCCTGCGGGCCAAGCACTCCAACAGTTTCTGTAAACAAAGTTTTACTGGAACACAGTCATGCACATTCATTTACATATTGTCCATGGCTCCTTCAGTGCTACAGCAGGAACTGAGAAGTTACAACAGATAATGCATGGCTTGCAAGGCCTAAAGTATTTCAATCTGTCCTTTATAGGGAAA